AATTCTAATACTAATATATAATCTTGAGCCTTTATCTGTGATTTTCTTTAAGAATGAGTTAATACTATAAAAATCCACCTCTGCCTTGGCAGTCATCGATGATATTAGTTCTGCTCGTTAGCAAAAGTTCTGTTCGATAACAAAATTAGCCATCACCAGCCAGAAATCCATTTCAAGAGCGTAAGCTAAAATCCTCCCCAAAATGAGTGGGAAACCAAAAAAGTGAATGAACAGAAAATTTGCAACCTTTTGCAAAACACGAAGAAGAGGACAAGCCAACAGATTGTTCTTGTGGTTTGTTTGCAAATAAATAGGAAAAGGAAAAACGAAAGGGAAAGGGAACCTTGACTGTTTTCTTTGAAATCATTTCGATAACTGAGTGGAAGATCGACCCACATATCTCGGCAGCCGGTTCTAAAACGCCCTTGATTGAAAAAATATTTTTCGAAGGATTTCAACTGGAATAATCGATATACTTTCTTAGCAAAAGTTTAATGCTTTTTGGCGAGTTTTAATTTACTGACATTGGTCATTGCACGTAAAAGAGGAAAACGACATAAATTGTAAAATGCCGTAATTATCTCTATTTCAGTAGTAACCTCTTTTTAAATTCCTACATTTAATTAAGCTGTTGAAAAATATTAAAAAAATATATAAAAAGAATTTGTAATTTTTTGCCTATGGAAACTTTTTCATGCATTTTTTTATGCTTTTAATCTTTTTTTTATATTTCTATGAAGATTATATACGCCTAATTTTTATTGAAAACGAAAGATTGTAGTTCATATTTTACAACACAACAACAGATTTCATAAAAATTAAGTATTTTGACTGAAATTCATATCTGAGCTCACAAAGGTAAAATAGAGTTCTTTTCAGTTTCCCACCAGTCACTAGAACGGGGTATTTGAGCAAAAAAATCATCTCCCACTTAAAGCTCCGACTGTAAATGCCGAGGGTATGACGAAAAATATAAAAAGGCAGCCCCTGGGTTAAACTAAAAAAAAAAATTTCACAATTGCCTTGCAAAAATACTTTAGACAGTGGGGTGTAGGGCCCCCCTATTTCGGTCATGTATAATCAAAATTATACTCAACACTTCAAATGAACTTTTTTTTTGTTTTTGATCTATTAATACATATTATTCACTAAAAATCACTGCCAGTGCCACAATTTTAAACCAATGCAACTATGTTTAAATATATACCTTTTCAACGCTTTAAATAGTACAATACTTACAATAAATAATGCACAATGCAGCTAAATTTTTTGTTTACTTGGCAGTTCCTTTAATATTTCTACCGATTATCAATTAGCACTATTAGCGGATAAAGCGCAAAGGATTAATGGTGAACGAACTTTTTATTTGAACTGTTAATTGCTCTATGCAACTTTTACTAACTTTCTTTTAATAGAGAATAATTCACTTTGCATGCCAAAAGGATAATAAACCTGTGAAGTGGTTCCTTGAATACCGGTGGCTGCCACAAACGTTCGTTTGTTTATTTCTTAATAATGAGTAATGAATTTGCGTATGTGTTTGTGTGTGTTCGCTGTCATAGCAAGTGAAAATGAGCGAAATTGTTAACAATCCTCAACTGTTTCCCAACAACTTTGGTGGAAATCCACACTTTTTTGCTACTAATGGTTTATAACGCTGAAGTGTACATACTACTACATCCCAGAAGATTATTTAGGTAAGCCTTCTTGAGTAAAGTCATTCTAAGAGGCCTAGCCAAGAAGAGCTGAAAAAAGTGCTTCCTTGCATGCCGTCTAGAAGTGCATTACAAATGAGTTTCAATGAACATTTTAAATTGCAATAACACATATTTGATATAAACCTTAAGCAAATACTTCAAAGATGTATGATTTTTATAAATTAAAGAAGCCACTTTAAAAAAACTCCCCCAAAAGGCCTTCTGAAGTATGTCCTATAAAAGCCCTTTAGAAAGGCCTTCCATGGGTAGCGAAAGAAGAAGCCCTTCACTTTGTGCCACTTNGACTCCCCCAAAAGGCCTTCTGAAGTATGTCCTATAAAAGCCCTTTTGGAAGGCCTTCCATGGGTAGCGAAAGAAGAAGCCCTTCACTTTGTGCCACTTCAAACAAAAAGGAAAGGAGAAAGGAATGTAGAGTGCAAGGCCTCTTGACTCTCATGAAGGCCTTTCGGAAGGGGTTTTTAACTCCTGAAATTATCTACTGGGATACCATAGAGGTGAATATTAGATTAAACAATAAAACATTCTCCATAGTATGAGTGGCTGGCAAATTTCTGATTAATTTTTTGAAGTCATTCGGATAAAACAAGTAATAATTTTTGAGTGGAAAAGCAGTTGATTCATAGGCATACTCATATATGTGTTTTAGGGTGGATCGAAAAAAATCAAATTTTCGATTTCGAAATTTTAAAGTTTAATGATTTTTGGCGAGATTTAACTCATTGACTTTAGGATAGTACGTTAGAATGGTAGGAGCTGAGATCTGGTGGTAAGTACTAGAACGGGTTACTTGCGGTCAGTGGACTCTCGAACAAAAAACAAATGTTCTGCTCGAGGCAAGGACATTGTTATATGGGCGTTTCCAGCGGAAAGTCTACCGCGGAAAAAAAGTCATGTATCCAACTTATAATATAGGTATACCGGGTATGTATGTAAGCAGAAATGTTTTCGAAAAATGGTCTCGATATTTTGAAAAGCCGCATTTATGCTCCGATTTGTTTCAAATTTGGCATATACAGTGGAAACATAGTAAGGCATAGATTTGCAAAAATGTAACCGCTAGGTGGCGCTGAAGTCAAAACGAGAAATATATTCTATATAAATAAGTAACAAAATGTTTTCAATGGAAGTTTTTGTAACGTACCGTCATGAAACATCACGTCAGATACTTTGGCTGAAAAAAATTGAACGATTTTTACGTTTAAAACCTTGAAAAATTAACCTTAAATATTTCAAATATGTATATACCTAAATATTATTACCAAAAATTTGTACAAAGAGTCGTGTCCAATTCGCAAAGTTTAGCAAATTTTATAACACAAGTCAAAACTTACTTCTTGTTTTTTTTTGTACTCACTCCGAACCCAAATGTTCTAGCATCAACATGCATAATCCTTTGGGCTTAATGACTTTGGAGTCTTTTATCTTACTTCATTCCACCTAAACTTCAATGCTGGTAAAAGTTAACGACGCCTCAGATTTTGAGAGATTGTGCAGTCTTTTGTCACACGCCGTTTGACCTTATCCTCCGAAGGATGTAGTGTGAACTGTGTGAATAACTTAGCTCGCGGTAATCCGGATATTAACTGGACAGCAAAATGGCAAAGTTAACACATATTANATCTGATTAATTTTTTGAAGTCATTCGGATAAAACAAGTAATAATTTTTGAGTGGAAAAGCAGTTGATTCATAGGCATACTCATGTATACATATGTATGTACATATATACATACATATATGTGTTTTAGGGTGGATCGAAAAAAAATCTAATTTTCGATTTCGAAATTTTAAAGTTTAATGATTTTTGGCGAGCTTTAATTCATTGACTTTAGGATAGCACGTTAGAATGGTAGGAGCTGAGATCTGGTGGTAAGTACTAGAACGGGTTACTTGCGGTCAGTGGACTCTCGAACAAAAAACAAATGTTCTGCTCAAGGCAAGGACTCGTGTCCAATTCGCAAAGTTTGGCAAATTTTACAACACAAGTCAAAACTTACTTCTTGTTTTTTTGTACTCACTCCGAACCCGAATGTTCTAGCATCAACATGCATAATCCTTTGGGCTTAATGACCTTCGAGTTTTTTTTTCTTACTTCATTCCACCTAAACTTCAATGCTGGTAAAAGTTCACGACGCCTCAGATTTTGAGAGATTGTGCAGCCTTTTGTCACACGCCGTTTGACCTTATCCTCCGAAGGATGTAGTGTGAACTGTGTGAATAACTTAGCTCGCCGTAATCCGGATATTAACTGGACAGCAAAATGGCAAAGTTAACACATATTAACCGGATATGCGGATATGAACCGAATATCAAAATCGAACGAATATACACCGAATTTTCGGGTATTATGCGTATACACGAATAGCCGAACGGATATCTGGATATCCGAATGCATGAATAATCCCAGCCGTAATTTGCGCACCTTATGCGATGGAGCACAAATTTTGTGCAACATACTTTTCATGTCACTAAACCAAATTAAGGAAAAGCAAAGGAAAAATCAAGTTGGCAAAATAAACGCCCTAATGTAGTGCATTCATGCACATGTAGTATACAAACATACATATTTGTATCAGAAAGTTAATGCTACTTTAGAAGGCGCATTATTTAGAAATGAGTCAATCATTGCTGCATACATATGTACATATGTATAAGTAAATACTCCACAGGTACTGAGTGAATTCTCCACCGATTGTGGTCGGTTAGCATGACAGTATGACATAATGGGATTTTCCTGAAAATAATTTGAATGTTAACTGTTTGCTTTATTTTACTGACCCATAGCTGTATGTTGCACGGTGGGTATTGGCTAGTAAAACCACAAAAAAAGGTTAACAAAAATGTTTAAAGATGTTTCTCATAAAATGTGAAAAATTATTATTTTTGCATAGATCTCCTTTAGTCTCGGTGATGCCCAATTTCAGTACTGGTATTTCAACTGGGGCTGGAATCAAAACAGCGTACGTGTATTTATTCTATAAACATACATAGTACAATCATACATATTTCAGATACACTAAAAACTTTACAGACATAACCATAAACTATATACAGTTTTTACATCGTATGCTNGTTGGCTAGTAAAAACTAAAAAAAAAGGTTAACAAAAATGTTTAAAGATGTTTCTCATAAAATGTGAAANATTGGCTAGTAAAACCACAAAAAAAGGTTAACAAAAATGTTTAAAGATGTTTCTCATAAAATGTGAAAAATTATTATTTTTGCATAGATCTCCTTTAGTCTCGGTGATGCCCAATTTCAGTACTGGTATTTCAACTGGGGCTGGAATCAAAACATCGTACGTGTATTTATTCTATAAACATACATAGTACAATCATACATATTTCAGATACACTAAAAACTTTACAGACATAACCATAAACTATATACAGTTTTTACATCGTATGCTTCAGTATATCGGAAACTCTTTATCTATACTATAATGCCATGCATAAAGACCACCAACGATATCCCGTATTGTCTGAATCGGAAACTTGTTTCGTATGTGTTGCACTGCTATTTGGGAGTCGTTGCCCCTGCGACAAATTAAAATTTTTGGTAGTTTGTCATCAGCAAATTCTTTCGAAAAACGTTCCACAAATCTATTGTCCAATATTTCCTTCAGTGGTACATTAACTGCTGAGGGCAGACGACAAATCTCGAACTCATTCGGTGGCCGTACATCTATTAGCAAATGTGGTTGTGTACTCAAATTAATATATTCCAATACGTTGAAACGTTCATCAGGTGATAAAAGTTGTAGAGGCTGATTGCTATCTGTCGCATGCATACTACAGAAGTATTCATAGTCGATCAGTCGTGTAATCATTGGATTCTCTGAGCAAACTTTGCAATCACTTCGTCGCCCACGCAGCTTTACATTTCTAAACATGCTATTTATTCCATCAAAGATGAGTAATCTTCCAGCTAGTGTTTCACCTACTCCTGTAGCAACTTTTATAGCTTCTAATGCTTGTAGGGAACCTATTATGCCTGTGATTGCACCCATTACACCGCCATCTCCACAGTTTGTTACCGCATGTGGTGGTGGTGGTACAGGGAATAGACATCTATAGCACGGGCATGTGATACCGTGATGGTAAACAGTTAATTGACCATCAAATTGTAAAGCGCTGCCCGACACCAAAGGTTTGTTCAAAAGTACACACGCGTCATTGAGCAAGTAACGTGTAACAACATTGTCCGTACAATCCAAAGCAAAATCATACTGTTCTATAATTTCCATAGCGTTGCTGCTGTTCAACATTTCCTTGTAGGTGACAATTTGACATTTTGGATTGAGTTGCTCAAGTGCGCATTTGGCAGATTCAACTTTCGGCATACCAATCGTTCCTTCAGTGTGCAATGTTTGACGATGTAAATTGCTCCGGTCCACCGTATCGTAATCTACCAAACCCAGGCGGCCACTTCCAGCAGCAATCAGGTATTGAGCAGCCGGGCAGCCAAGACCGCCCATTCCTATAATTAGAAAGGAAGAGTTTATAAGCTTTGTTTGTGCAGCCACGCCGAAACCCGGGAGTATGAGTTGACGGCTATATCGTTCGATTTCATCATTTGAAAGGTCATTTACTCGCGGCGTGTGAACATCTCCGTCCAAGTCTTTTTCGATTCCGCAGTCAGCCTTAGCGGCACGTTGGGCTGCTTCCAAATTATGAAGTTGTCGAGTCTTGAAAGCTAACTTTCGGCGTAGTTCTTGTATTTCATGATTTAAGCTATCTAGTTCATCTTCAACATTATTTTCTTCTGTAGACATATTAAAAATCAAGTAGTTTTTTAACCCCTGAATAAATAATTTGTTGACTTATCTCAAGGCGAATTTATACAAGGTGGTAAGTCATGATTCAATAATACAAGGTTCGATAAACTGACAGTTGTCTCTCTATCACCGCTCCCTTAGCAGTGGCACCGTGTTGCTTCTTTGCAANATGACGAAGGCTGCACGCAACTTGATAGCCCATTTTACTTTACAGATGCCGTCGTCAAGGCAACAACTTAAAATTCTTGTCGCGTAATATCTTCCTGAGGTAAATTTGTTGTGATTATTACTTCACAACTCAAGGAAAAGCGCTTTGTTTATTTTTACTTGAGAAATGTCATTGCCGGCGGGAGTGTGCAATCTCTGTATCACTCTTGCGAAAACTTTTCAGGAGGTATGGAAATTCGAAAGTGGCGCAATAACATTTCGCGATTCAAGGACCAGCAGGTAGTTTGAGAAAAATAAAGAGGTTACATGACCTTGGAAGTGAAGCCGCGTTATAAGTAACGAAATGTCATGGAAGGAAAATGTCAAGAATGACACATCGTAGTAAATGCAGACACTAAGTCTGTGTTTATACATGGAAACTTTTGTCGCAGCAATTTTTTTATATTCCCTTTTGCTGTTGCTTGTTTCATTCACACACGATGACGTTTTTTATATGCAATTGTTGCTATCAGCTGTGAACAGCTAACTCAATTTACACAGGCGAACGAGAGCACAAAGCGTGTTGCCCGAGCACGAGCAACTGGATGTCCCTCTCCTTACCGGGCCGTTACACATTCAATTTTCCCTTTTCAATTTTCAATACTCTCACACTTTTTCACTAACACACTCTTATTTATTGCTTGAATGGGCAAATTGCTCTCAATTTTTCCCTTTCAATTGAGTTTCAATTTTGCTTTCAATTTTGATCAGCTTTTCAGCATTGGTATGCGGATTTTGTGAAAATAAAAAAATACTAAGCTTATGCATGTGTTAATTTACAATGGAATTAAAATGGAAAATATTATTCAGAAGCTAGTTAGTTACATTGTTTTCTTGAAGGCGACATGTTGATAATGAACCTACGTAATGGCTTTCAATTTTGATGATTTTTGACAAGCAATGTGTGTGAGGAAATTGAAAGGCAAAGCTGATTGTGTGTCGTCAGCGTTACCTCGTCACGCTCTCTTCAAACATCGAGTTGCCTCAGCAAAAATTGCCGTGTATAAATGAGCACTAAGAGAACTGTCAACAATTCTCTACATTGATTTTTGGCGTTTCGAGAAATAAAAAGCGGCTTGTTCTGTAAAATTTGGCCGATTTCGATTCGCGTTTGATTGCACATTCCAATTTGTAAGATTTTTTAAGAAAAAATAGGTCAAAAAGTTTAGTAAAGGTGCGATTGCTACGCGCATCAAACGATTTTGTAATAAAAAGGTAAAAAAAGCTAGAAGAATAACTTATTCAGATTGCATGGACACATTTTTTGGCTGACGAAATGGAGAATATTAAGACAAATTTTGATAAAATAATGGAAAAATTCAATGATAGTATAACGCATTCAGCACCAAAAAAACTCAGCTTTGATTACTTGAACGATTCATTCAATGATTCTGGTACTTGTAAGTAAAATTTTTACCTATTTACATATATATGTATACACAATTGTTTAATATATTTAACTTAAACTGTGATTACAGTACCGAAAAAACGTCGCCACGATAATTCGCATCTCAGTTGTGATAACGATAGCAATACCTCTGCAAGCAGTGTCCCACCTAGTCCTTGGGAAACCCGTCGAATTAAGGCGGACTTGATTGAAGCCAAGTCTCGGGTAGGTTTGGGATGCAGTGTGTATTACCAATTTCCTTTTAACTTTGTGTATTTTATTTACAGATTTCTAAGCTAAAACTGGAGATTGACCGCCAACACAAGTTGCGTGCGGAGATAGAAACTCTCTACGAAAGCAAAGTAACTGAGTTGAAAAAACAGTGTGAGTTTTCCGCTAGTAAGGTGCAGGACGTAGAAAAGCATTTGCAAGTTGTCCGAAAGCGTGAACAGGGCGCCAAGCAAGAGCTTCTACGTACCCAACGGGAACTCACACAACAAAAACATCGCTACGAAGAAGAACTACATAAACTGCAGCGCGAAAAGTTAGAAATCGAAGATCATTCGCGCCAAATGCAGAACAGCATGGAGAATGAGTTAAGTGAATACCGACGGCACACTGATAAATTAGAAATGGTAAATTGATAGTTAATAACAGAATAACTGCTTGCAGTAGTATTTTTACTAAAAAATATAAAATTTATGAAGGAACTTGATTTGGTAACTGATGAAATGGCAAATCTAAAAGGCTTACTTGATGAGTATAAATCGCATGCAGATGCCTACGAGTCACTTAAAATGGAGCATGAGAAGGACCAGCAAGAATTAGAAACCGCCCATTCACGCATTAAAGAACTGGAGTACCAAATAGCATCATATGAAGATTGGAAGGAAATTACTAAGGTAAAATATATCATCATCAACGTTATACATTACACATTGCATTAATAATTTTTTCATTAATTATTTAATTAATTTATTTATTCACAGAAATCACAAACGCGTTTACTCAGCATTCCAGATATGGATAAGGAACTTGAGCGTTTACGCACAAATAACAAAAACTTGCAGGAATTATTGGGCAACAAGTTGCTACTGGAAGAACAGGTTCATGATTTAAAAAAACGTTTGGCGCGTGAGGAAGGTGGTCGTAATGAAGCGGTAGCCCTGCAAGTAAAACTTACTCATATGGAACAAGAACTAAAGGAATGGGTGAAGGTAGCACAGGATCATTGTTTACCTAACATGTTGGTCAGTCCGATGGCTCTGCGTTCTCGTATAGAGCAGTTGCTACAAAATGATATAATAATGCTGAGTGAAAAACGAAGCACACAGTCCGAGACAAAGTCCGTCAAGTCGGAGTTGCTGGATTACAAACAGGTATACATAGTATATTTAATATGCAATTATTACAGTTTTTACATGAAGAAACTTTCTATCAACTGTTTTCGTTCATGGTTTTAGAAATGCGAAATTTATGTTAAAAACATTGAGGAACTTAACGTTGCTCTAAAAAGGCATAAGAACTTCAAGGAACGCGTGCAACGCAAACTATTTTTAGTTTCTAAGGAACGTGACTGTTACAAGCAGCTGTTGGAGAACTTTGAAAAGGATCTTACCTGTGAGTACTTAGTTTTTAACATTGCCTAGTGCAAATATTATTACATTAGCAAAATTCTTTCAGTCTCCTATGCTAATGCCGGTGCTGATGGCAATAATGGTGATGTGCAATTACGCTCACGCCTGGACATGCTGGAGAAGACCCTTGTGGGCTATAAAGATATGTGCAGTAATTTGGAGAAGGAATTGACGAACGCCAAGCAATTGCCCGTCGCAGATCAATCAATAGAAAATGTCATAAGTACAGAAGTCTATGAGCATACAAAGAAAGAGTTGGATGCCATAAGACTTGAAAATGAGCGATTGCGGCGACGTAAAGAAGAGCTAGAACTTGAGCTGGAGCATCGATGCTTAAAAGGTGACTTCAACGTGGGCAAATATAAAGTTGTGCATTTGGCGAAAAATCCTGCAGCTGAAGCTTATGAAAACTCTCAAAATTTGATTGAGAAATTGCAAGCTGAGGTAGATTTAATATAAATCTAGATTGTATTATTGTTAATTTAATGCTTAATTATCTTCAGATTGAACGACTAAAGCGCCGCAATAAAAAGTTGGAGGAGGACAACGAAGTTACACAAGCACGTCTAAATGAAACGACCAACATGACCATAAACATAAAAGAAATGAATCAATTGCGCGCAGAACTTGAGTCAGCCAACTCTAAAATGAAAAAAATGAAAGAGTGCTACAAGTCAGCTAGTATGGAATTTCGGGAAGTCTGTTATTTGCTTTTTGGCTATAGGATCGATCGGTTGGGGCTGAATACCAACTATAAGTAAGTACTTCATAGACTTTGGTATATGTGCAGCATATCGCATTTGATTCATTCATTGACCTATTTTCTTTTTTAACTTAGGCTGTCCAGTATGTATGCGGAGAGTCCTGATGACTATTTAAATTTCCGTTTGAATGAAACAAATCATGCAATAGACATGCTTGAAACACCATATTCGGCAACACTCAAACAGTTAATAGAAACCCAATTGGTTGGAAATAAATCTTTACCGGCGTTTTTGAGCTCTTTGACACTTGAGCTTTTCCAGCGTTCTACAGTAACCATGTCCTAAGCGCAATATGGGGTTACGATATGTTCTTGCTATTTGAATGAAATTCGTTTGCTTGCCTAACAACTAGCATAACTGATTCAAAATAAATTCGAGTTGGTAAGGCGTTCACATACTTAGACATTTGGAAGGTCCAGAGCACCAAATAGATTTATACCCGGTTTTCTATATTATTTTTGCTATGTAATGCATTATTTTATAAGTACGTATTTCATAATAATAATTTGTTTGGCTAATGCCGAGCTAGCTTAGATGTGTGCAATCATGATTTTTCATCTTGATACTGAATAGACGTTCAAGTATACATATAAGGCTTTTAAAAAATATGGATTCATTGAATTAAGTCAAGAATTAAATCTTGCGTGTTTAAGTATATGTGCTTTAACCCGAACACTTCAAAATTAAATATTCCCATAATCAGCTCTAATCTTCCAAACCAAGACGGAATTGCCTAGTGAAGGATGGTCCCATTCTTCAGAAATTCACGCGGAACATTTTTGGCACGTATCACCACAATGAAAATGTGATTTATTTAATGTTATTCATGCATCCATACATGTTTATCTAAACAACTAACAGACATGACGCTTGTTTTGTCGCGCAAAACAAAAATTCCTTTAAGAGATAAAAATGTGTTTATATATAGATATGTATATGGACGTCATTGGCAACTAAAAAAAAAAAACGAACTGTGCACGCTAACAAAGAATTTTTCGCAATAACTGTTGTACACTAATCACATTGCACTTTAACTTACTTACGATACCAATAAGTTTTCTGAGTCCATCACTTTTAGTTTTGCAATAAAAATAGTTGCAATCAAATTTTATAGTTTCTACGTTTTTCTTATTTTTTTTTGTATGATAAGAAAACACCGCGTAATCGATTTATTTGTCGAGTTTATTATGGACCGACGGCGGCTGACACAAGTAACAATCACACTACTAGTTATTACACATCCGTCTGTCACAGCCTCTTTTATTTCGCAAGCAGCTCTTTTGCTTTGGGCTATGCTTCGTCACTTAATTTCATTTACGCTATTGTTGTACACATTAGCACACAGCTAGCAACCACAATATCAAACAATAACAGAACGTTACGAAAGATTGGCGCAAGAGTTTAGGAGGCAGTACACACAATCTTTAAAGATTGATAAAACTGCGGCTGATATGGAGTCGTGTACCCATTATTTGCAATGCATACATATGCATGAGTAATTATACAAACTAATGGTTCTATATGAATGCAAAAACGAAAGAGTTGCTGGCGAGTAACTTGTAGATTGCCGAGTTTTAGTTATTTGAAAAAAATACTAGCATTAATTGTACCTTCCGCTAACAAAGTGTGAATGTGAAAATCTAATTCCTTTAAATACTTCATAAATTTATACATTTTAGGTGATAAATATATCAATAATATAAAAACAAAATCTTATTTTAAACAGCCAAAATCTTGCTGACCTGCTCCGGCGTTTTACTAAATATAGACTCTGGATTGTCGAAATCGTTTGCCGGATCGTGAACACGTTCGTATATTTGCTTGTATATAGCGACGATAACGTTGAAAGCTCGCTTTTGCACAGAGTTGCGATGACCACTGGACATTAACAACTGAACTTGTGGCAGCAGTAACATTTCTGGCATTTCTAAGAAAGCTTCCATTTTATTCATGAATATTTTAAGTAAATTCGCCTCAATTTTGGTTTGATTGTTTTGTAGTATTGTATAGATCGGACCTAGATTTAGATTGGCCACCAAAGAAGATGCTTGTTCAGAAATTAGCGTGTCGATTTGTGCATCTGACTGTGCTTGTAAACGCTCTACGCGTTCGTCCATGTATTCGTACACTGCCAATGAGCTTTGCATATGATAGAGACAGTTTAGAAGATAGACAGCCATATCGATTGTAGGTAAATGTGAAGCTGATTCCTGTACTGATTGCAACAGAGGATCTATAACACAAGATACGATCTTTGTAATGTCTGTTTGTCGACCATCGACCATGGTAGCTACTGATAGGATCTCTTTGAGCATGTTCAAAAGGCGACCAACACTCGCTGGTGGTACCAAATCCCGCTGCGGCGGTTCAAGACCTAAATTGGCGCTGGCTGGACGTTGTAGAATGCTGCGGACTTGTTTGGAGAGCGAGTTCAAATAAATCTCCTCACTAGACTTTTGTAAATCAATAAGGGTTTGCTCAAGTGCACCTCCTTTGACCACCTGCAATAAAATAAAGTTATTACAAGGCACATACTTGTATGTGCCAGTGACATGGTACTTGTTTTATAATTTGTTGGTAGAAGCGTAATAAGTTCGATATCGCAAACAAAACGATAGTATCCTTTTCTGAAGTCAATATGGTTTCCACGCGCACCTTGAGAGGATGGCATACACCATCAGCAACGTAGGCTAAGGCGGTTTGCGTTTGCTCTGACAAATCTGAAAGCAAGCTTTGTTTATATATATATTTAGAGATTAATTCATTATACCATTTTTATCGCATTTCTTTAGCAGCAACGAAAGGTTTTCCTTTTCATTCGGTATTGCTTGATGGAGCCATGCAAACATGTCGCCAATGTAACGTTTTGGATCATGTGCATGCATTTCAATAGGCCTTGGATTGCCACTGGCACCACCCTCTGTCAATGCTTCAATAAAAAGTCGCACTAGCACAGCACGACGCGCAATAGCGTATTCATCAATTACATATCTGAAAGGATAAACATTCAAGTGTCAGATACCTTATGTTTCCGTCAAATGAAATTTCAACATACTTGAATAGTACTGGTCTGTCTTGGAGCCGACTCATTGCTTCAATTACCAAAGAACCAATTTCATTATTTTCCAGATTCCGACAGTGATTTTGCGTCCACCGATAAAGTCGCTCAAATGCTCCCTCTTGATGTAAAGTCATTTCCTCCATTATTTCCAAAGCTGCTGTCTGATAGCCACATTGCATTAGAGCTCGGCAGTCCGCGTGAATACTTTGGACCCGGTTCAGCACAGTGAAAAATTCAGACACAATTGGTGCATCTTTTGTAGTACCATAAAGTATTTGGTGTTCGGGTACAGTGAGTTGAAAACGTGCTAGGAAAGCCTCGGCTATCTGTTGATCAACCTGAAGCCGTTCGCGCTCCGTCTGCAACGAATTAGTTTGAGTAATCAGGTCATGAGTTAAAGCTTTTGAAGATTCTAAGTTTGACTTCATAGCCTGAACAGATTTTGACATGGTATCTAGATCTTCGCATACTGCATCAAGCGTATTCTTGACTTCTCGAAAGGCCCCAAGAAAACTATCGTTTATGCCGACTGTACGACGTTCAATCTCACTACGAAGATTACGCCGATTTTGCAAGGTGTTTTCAGTAAAAAAGTTGGAAAGATTACTAAGCGCGCCCAGAGTATCCTATGAAAATAGAAAACGTTTTACCTAATTCAGTTAGAGATACCAGGACCACAAACTTTATCGCCTTCCAATCTTGTTTCGAGGATCTTATTCACGCGTTTCTGAATTGGATCCTCACTCTTGGAGTCCTCGGTAGATGAACTCATATTTCTTGGCAAAATATAAGCTTTTCACAATAAACAATAAACACAAAAAATTATAAATCTTCTACAGAAAACGTCAACGTCAATAGGTGCGTTCGACAAGTCAAAAATTTGTAATAGTTGTGCCAAATTTTTACTGGATGGCGTTCGATAACGACAAAAAATTATCCAACACACAAAAATTGAGAGAGCAAGCGTCCATTTTGATGCAANCAAAAAATTATAAATCTTCTACAGAAAACGTCAACGTCAATAGGTGCGTTCGACAAGTCAAAAACTTGTAATAGTTGTGCCAAATTTTTACTGGATGGCGTTCGATAACGACAAAAAATTATCCAACACACAAAAATTGAGAGAGCAAGCGTCCATTTTGATGCAAGAGAAGCGTTCATTTTGTACTGGCAAAATTTTAGTCAGCAAAAATTATCCAACACGAAAACATATGATCACAAAACATATGGTTGCAATTTTTGTAAACAAACAAAATTGCATTTTCCGAGTTTTGGTATTTATATGCTTTTTGGCTGCCTGCTATTTGACTTTATGATAGCGCCAACTAGTTTTTACCATGGTTTTTACTTCTAGAAATGTTAGGTCCGTGTTATGCAGAAATTTTGTTTGGCAAACTGCGTGCAATTGTTGTTGCAGCAAACTCGGAGAGAGCGAGTTTGGCGACTCTCACAGCAAACTAATTTTGTTTGGTCAAACTGCAGCAAATTCGGTGTTGTCATATACAAAAATTTTAAATTTTGCGCGTTATGTACATCTGAAATTCTCATTTCGTGTTGGCAATAGCCAAGAAAACCATANTTCAAGTGATGGCTAATTTTCTGTTCGTTTACTTTTTTGCTTTTTCTTCTGTTTGGGAGAGAATTTTCGCTTACTCTCTTGATTTTGATTGTTGGCTGGTGTTGGCTAATTTTAGGTGCGTTCGCGTAGCTGTTAATTGTTCAAGTTTAACCAAAACTTACAGGTTTTTGCGTTCGCGTACGCAAAAAACTTGCAAAGTAGGGGAAATTGAGAGAGCAAAGTGACATTTAATTTTGAGGGGAAGCTGTTAGTTTCTGTTGGAAAAATTTTTGCCAACAGCAATTTGCCAACAGGGAAACAGCTGATCAAAAACAGCTGGTTGGCATTTACGCAAATCACAAAATTGAATTTGATGGTTTGGAAGATAAAAATTACAAAATGCGAGTAATTAAACTTGTAAGAAATAAGTAGTTATTTGTTTAATCAATAAACTGTGTCAGTATAACACTTTGCGACGACTTTTCGTACGTTTTAAATTTTACACTTTTGTATGTAAACAAAAATTATATCAGCTGTTCGTCTAACTTGCAAGTTTCTGCAAATTTTCTGTTCGCGTACTATTTTGGATATTTCTCTTTTGTGAGAGAACAGATGACATTTCGCCGGAATTTTGCAGTTGGTTGGTTTCTGCTGGAGATTTTAAACGAACGCACCTTTTGTTATCGAACGCAGCTAATAACAAGAACTTTTGTCAAAACTTTTGTTGTACGTTGCGATCAGCTGTTCATTGCATTGCCAGAGGTAGTTCTACGAAAGGAGAAAAATAGATAAAGCAGATTAGATACATTTTCGAAAGAGCATAACTCGAACATCAAATAACTGAGTATGATTTTGGAAAAATTGTAAAAAAAAGTTCTGAAATTTCTTCATGATGTCAAAAGGTATTTGGTTCAACAAGTGAAGCTTAAACCGCGATACGGTAGCACTGGAAAGGGGCTGTTCAGTGAACGTCAGTTTCGTTTCTTGAAAGAAATGCGTTCTCTTGTTTTTGAACAGCTGATTGGTCGTCGTAAATTTTGCAGCAATTTTAGTGAAAACTACCAAAATCTTATTTGTAAACAATTGAAAACCATTTAAAAGATTGCATATATTTATAACTGAAATATGAGCAAAGCTTTGCAAAGTTTGACCGCTCAGTATACAGATTCGGAGAATGAAGGCGAACCAGAGGATTCTAGCCCGGACTCGTCTAACTCGCAAGCATCCCAGGTTCCTTTTTAACATATTTTCTATTGTTCAAAAACTAATGATGTCTACATTTATTGAAGGCTATTATTCCAAAACTACCGAGCATCAAAGGAAGCCCCGAAAAGACGCCAACCGAAAAAGAACGGAAAAAGAAAAGGCGCAAAAAGTCTGTACGTCGCCTGGTTAGTTATAAAGATGACACAGTGATATCCGATGGTGACGAAGAAGAAAGTGCTTCTTCGCAGTCAAACAATGAGTCCCAATCAGAAGGCGAAGACGATGATGGAAGTGCTCATAGTAATGTGTTGACTTCAAGAGATACCAGTAGCAGTGTACAAATGGAAGTTGATGAGACGACTGAGCAAGGAAATGAGTCTAAATCGCCAAAAAAAGCTGATAAGCTTAGTAAATATGCTCATTATGGATTTTCTTTACCTCCGGAGCCTAAAGGTAAACCTTCGGCAGATTTGGTCGATAAAATCAAGCATTTATATGAGAAAATGGAAACAACCAATATGGATATGAATCGCGTTATACAAGAGCGCAAAGAATTCCGAAATCCCAGTATTTATGAAAAACTTATACAATATTGTGACATAAATGAATTTGGCACAAATTATCCTCCGGAGATCTATGACCCGCTGCAGTGGGGGTCAGAAAGTTACTATGAAGAATTGGCACGTATACAAAAAAGTGAAATGCTCAAACGGCAAAAAGAACGTAAGGACACGGATAAAATCGAGCAGGCCACAGCACTGGCACGTAAAGTCGAAGAGGAAGCTAAGAAGAGGTAAAGGGATTACTGGTGCTTAATGAAAACTTTATTTATTTTAAATCTCGTCATAGAAAATCCAAATGGGACCAGCCGGCTGCTGCGGTTAAACCGGTACCGCCAACATTAACCACCACAGTTACCGGTACAAAAGGCACTGTAATATCTGCATTTGGTTCCTTGCCAAAGAAACCATCAGCTTAAAGTTTTGCTTCATAAAATGTTTCAGCAGCACAATAATGCTATGTATTTTAATTGCCGATACGTACATATAAATAGATATATAACTGAGAAATAATAAATAATAATACAACATTGCTCGTCAATTTTATTTTAAAACTCTCGGTTGCACGTAAAATTGTAAAACCAATGAACAAGTTATTTATTTATTAACAAATAGCCTACGCTAATACAATTGTTCTTATATATAAGTTTCAATGGAGAAAAGCTGCAACTAACAATAGAGCCGACTTTATCAATTTTCGACTATAAATACGCCCCAATATTTCAAAATTAACAATGTACAGACAGCAAGAGAATACGGGACAAAGTTAAAAAAGAAATATAGACAGATGTTAGATTTACCAAAAGGTATAGATGTGGGGTAAGGTTTTTGTCAAGGCGAATTTATACAAGGTGGTGTTGATGGCGAATTTAGATTTTCGCCGAGGTACGTCTTAATGTCAAAATGATGTGTTTGCTGTAAATTGAATTCGCCTTGTTTACAACAAGCACATCATTTTGACATTCAGTAGGCCGCGGCGAAAATTTAACTCGCCATCAACACCACCTTGTATAAATTCGCCTTGGTTTTTGTGAAGAAATGATACAAGGCGAATTTATACAAGGTGGTGTTACTGGCGATTTAGATTTTCGACGCGGTACTACTGAATGTCAAAATGATGTGTTTGTTGTAATACGAATTCACCTTGTTTGCAACAAACACATCATTTTGACATTCAGTAGTACCGCGGCGAAAATTTAACTCGCCATCAACACCAGCTTGTATAAATTCGCCTTGGTGTTTGTGAAGAAATGATGCAAGGCGAATTTATACAAGGTGGTGTTACTGGCGAATTTAGATTTTCGCCGCGGTACTACTGAACGTCAAAATGATGTGTTTGTTGTAATATGAATTCACCTTGTTTGCAACAAACACATCATTTTGACATTTAGTATTACCGCGGCGAAAATCTAAATTCGCCAGTAACACCACCTTGTATAAATTCGCCTAGTAGTGTAACTGGCGAATTTACAACAAACACATCATTTTGACATTCAGAAGCACCACGCCGAAAACCTAAATTCGCCTTGAACACCACCTTGTATAAATTTGCCTCAAAATCGTGATAAAAACATTACAAGGTAAATTTATTCTCTCAATTCGTCGGCCCTGTTTTGTTTCTGACGTTTGCCAACATTTTAAAATCTTATAAAATTGAAAATAAAAAAATTAAATTGTCACAATTGTTTTTGTTTGAGATAGAAAATGAGAATGTGTGTGTGAGTTTGAGTTTTGTATTTTAAAATTATATTGTTGGCAAACGTCAGACTGCCTCTCAATGGGTTTACCTTGATATGTTTTTATCATGCTTGAAATCAAGGTGAATTTATATAAGGTCAAAACCACCTTGTATAAATTCGCCTTGCTTGAAATGATAGGTGGATTATTTCCGCCTTGGAACACCCCTACGACGAATATTATAATAATGCTCTATTTCCACGCACCCATTAGCCGATTAAATAATGTTTAAATACTTTTCTCGGGCCCATTTATATTTTCTTCGCAGCCAAACAGATCGCGAGAGCGGAGAGTGGTACATTTTCATTCGTTGGGACGTTGGTAGACTCATGAAAACAATTTCAAATATCAGAAAAAGAATTTTAAACGAATCCGACCTTAAATAATCCGGATATTTCCAGTAGTGTGGTAACGTTGTCACCATTATTTTGTTGGCAGCACTGCATGTCTTCGTTTGCGGCGAAACAAGGCGACAAGAATTTGGTTGTCGGTTGTTGAGCTGTTGTGCCTGATATATTTTCTTTTCTATTTGAATTTTATAATTTCCGATTAAATTTTGCTCAAAGTTCCGCGTTTTCCATAAAAAACTAAGCTCTGGTGTTTGAGCGTCATAATCCGTCGCGAACAGGCATATTGCATTTACAATTAAAGCGTAAATGTTCCATTAAAACTCGTCTAAAATATTTGGTGAAATAATTGCGAAGTGAAAAAACCTGATATTACGGGCTCCGTGCTGCGGCTAGCGTGTAAGCAAAAGGAAAAAAAAAATAATTGCAATCTTTTGTCTTAGCATAAATTGCTGAGCGGTAATTCGTACGAACAAAAAATAATACAACGACTAGTATCTACACAAGTTATTTGGCAGATTGGATTTGCTTCAAGGCTAGATTGCATGTCTGGCACCTGAAAACTTTGGGAATTCTGCATATATCCATAATTCCACGTCCCTTCAACATTTTTTTGTTTGAACGTTGTATGCATGGAAAACCAACGCAGGTGTCTTGCCCTTTGTGAGAAACTAAAAGGTAAGTCAACTATGTTGTATATGTAAATATGTGTATATGCACCCTATGGAACTTGAAATCATTCTACTCACTTGCTTTACTTTGTAACATATACATATACATATTTGTATACTCTCAACATCTTGGTGGGCTTATAAATAATTGTTGTTGTAACTGCATGTNCATATACATATTTGTATACTCCTCTCAACATCTTGGTGGGCTTATAAATAATTGTTGTTGTAACTGCATGTATGTAAATTCACCCAGAGTTTTTGGGGAGTGATACTGGATTGACAGTCCTTGGTCAAATATAAAACTGGGACGATCCAGTTATGTATACCCGCCTTTAGTGGGAATAGATAAGTAATAATAGAATAGAAATTGCCAAGAACAAATAAAACGAAGTACCTACTTTCTTCGCCTTGGCAGATTTCTTAAATGTATACAGTCTATTTAATACAAATTTGTATAATCTTTATTTCATGGTATATCTACATATGTACTTAATTGACTGTGAAACTATTCGTGGAGCTTTGTACTTGATTGAACCAAGGGTGTGTGAAAAGTTTGTTTTCTATAAAAAATTTTAGCACATAATAAACATACACAAAACGTTTCGGTATACATACATTGTACATTTACCACCCGCTGCCCGTTCAGCGAATGTAGGTATGTATGTATATAAAAAACGCCAAAAAGTATTACGTGCACTTTGATGCAATTAAGAAAAATTTGCGAAATGGGGAAAATTACGCGCTTGAGAAGCAAGAAGCGAAATTTCATGGCATTTTCTTCCTAATTGAACTACCTTATTTTCATTGACATAAATCTCTTCCTCCTAATGATCATGCTGTCAAAAGGAATTATACATATTCGCGGATATGCATATGAGCACACGTTTATAGGTTTTATTAAAACGCAACAAGTCATGTATAAATTTATGTAGGCATGTACAATAAGATATAGTGCGTAGCATTTTATGTTAAAGGGCGTGTGTGCTATCGCAATAAAAGCCAACGCCTTAAATAAATCACAACAATTTAGTCATTGCTAAATTATCATTACAGCAGAGTACATAAACAATCGGTTGTGCCTATTTCACCATTCTATGAGTCAAATAAGGAAAGATCTTTTATCGCAGTGGTTGCAATTTGACCGCTCTTGCTTAGTTTTGACTATGCAGCATTCGAGAAGTGCTTTTCGCGATGAAATTTGGAGGCATTGCGCAGCATTCCATTACGTTCCAATTAAATCCTTAGTAAATGTAATTGGCGGCAATTACGGAACTGCAAATCGCAAAGTTGGTTTGTGTGCATGTAGGCTTGCAAATGGACGCATGGCTAGCTGTGGAATTTGCTTGTAGCTCATTTATAAAAATATGCATTCGCTTGCTATGGCAGCGGTAATTAGAAAATGCCCTTTTTCGCAAAGTCTATACCACGTAACTTTTATTTAATTTTTATACATACTTACATACATATGTATTTACATGCATACTTACATATGGATATGTATATGTGTTTCTTTATAAGCGTATTTCTAATCATATGTATGTACATACATACATCCATTTGCACGCTTACACTATTTCTATTATATTAATATTTTAAAGATTTATTTCTTCTTTATTTCAGCGCGCGAAACAAGTAAACACTAGTCTCGTCTTTGCAATTGAAACAAATTCCTTTATACTCGTACAACCTATCGCCACCACTCCACGGAAATAAATTTAGCCAAGAAATTATAATTGCGTTCGACAAATAACACAATTAATTCCGAGCTAACTACTTATTTGCCAGTAAATATATTTCAGTACATACATTTCTTATAAATGTTTTAAAACGTCTTGGAAAAGAATGTGCAAAAATAACATAGACAGTAGTTTGCGACAAAATAACGTAATTAATTTTTAATTACTCTCGCGTAGAAAGTTTGCTCGTGAAATGAATTAATTCTTAGAATTAGTTTTTTTTTTTTAATAAATTAAAATATCGCACATTTCGAATCAAGCACCAAATAGAAAAAGCATCAACGTCTTTTGGAGTCTACTGTTAACATGGCGGATTCATATTACCAGGTAAGCACTATTTTATACTAAATTTGATTTGTGTCATCGATATATCGCTAGCTTAGCATGCAAAGATGCCAAGTCAAATTTTGTAATTTTAAAGGAAAGGAAAAAACTTCTTATAGCGATTTTCGCAAAT